TCTCCATAAGGCAAACTCGCCTTTTTGATAATCCTATCGTCTTTTTAAAAAATATCAAAATCGCGATTAAATTTAGTTTCTTAGACAATCCTTACCAATGCAAACATTTTTAGCTGCTTTTCTAGTTGATACTACAGCGCTTAGAAACGCCTGTTGCAAGTACTACAGAAAAAAAGCTTTCCGTCACTTTGACTAATTCGTGGACCTAGTTTTAGATGTATTCCTTGCATCGATAGTTTTTACAGCTTTGCCATTTTTTCATGAAGTTCAGCATCTGTCATATTGACATCTTTTCGCTGCTTTTCATAGTACCGTAATGATAATTCTCTAATAAATAGCAGTGCTTCATCACCGGAGCTCAATAAATTCTTCTGGCGGCGAGACACAAGGTCAAATACACTTCTATCTCGTTAAAAACTACGCTTTTAAGCAGGATGTTTTATATCGTTTACAAGTATGACAGGTTTATAGGTGGGCTGTGTTACTTTTTTTTCGTTTTCCTAGGTAAAGTAGGGACTGTTTGTATTTGATGTTACCTTGTTTTTAATTTCTTGAAACGGCTATTCTGGTTGATCTGTCAAAACTAAGTGATAATCCATGAAAAGAAATCCGAAGTTAAAAGAAGCAAAATTTAAAGTTAGATCTCGTTATCGGTATGTATTTTGGTTGTCAATATGTCATGTAGCGTAGACAACTTTTATTATAATTAAATTCTTTTCGACAATTGATCTAATGGCAGTGCTTGTAACAGAAAAAAATTTAAAAAGAGGAAAGGAATGAAAAATAAAAATAAATTTAAATAAAAAATTACATGCCGATGGTTGCGTGTTTTATCCACCATGTTGCGTCTTTCCGCAACATGTCGTGGAATTACGCAACATGTTGCGGATCTCCGCTACCGAGTCCGCGGCTGTGTCACTCCATGATAATTCACTATTAGGGTTAAGTAATTACATATATTACACCATAGTAATGTATGTTTATACAGTAATGAATACAAATTTCATAACGCATACATTCACATACTTTACGAAATCAAGGGTACACGGTAAAAATAATAATATAAAAAAAAAAACTTGGATTGTTATTTTTAAAAAACCAAATTGATGATCGGAAAATCTTGAAAATTTACCTGGGGATGTCTGAGGATTCAAAAATATAAAAATAAAACGAAAAGGTAATCACTTATGAAGGTGCTCTTTTTATGAATATTTTTGGTCATAGTTGGAAAACATTCCTACATAATTTTACTGTCTTTGCTGTTATCAATTAACATCAATTATTATTTAAATGCTCATCTTCATAGCAGGTATAATTATTGGACAAATCACCGTTCATCCTATGTTGTTGATATCATCACAGCAGCAAATTCAACGTTTCAGATTTTCAAATCAAGTAGCATTTAAAATTTGAAATAATTAACACACGTCAACCTAAGAATACATTATACGCTAGCCCTTCACTTCGTTTTATCCAATAAGATCGAAGTGAATCAAATATTGGCAGGTCTGATCATAAATTATCAATTATTACACTCCTCCTCAGTTGAATGTGTCCTCAAGTTGCAATTATGCAATATCATTTTTCCTACATACACAAAGCTTCCCATCTACACTAGCTATCTGTTTAATCTGTTTATCCTCTTTATTTCATATACAGTGCATCTATTTTATAAAGAACAATTGTCGTTAAAACAACAATTTCAGAGCTTAAAAGTCGAATTTTTACACTGGAGATTTTCATATTTTTTGAAAGAGAAATCTAATTTATTGTGGGAAAATGATTAACCTGGATAAATCCGAAGGATCTTTATGAATTTTTGCACTGTAAAACACTACCCGGACATCTTTGGGTCTCCCCAATGTTAAAGGCAAATTTTGTTTTGCCCTCTGTAAAAATTATGTGCGAAACGAAAAAAATCGGGCTCTATGAGATCATGAAGAATTCTCTCATAAAGAATGTAATTGAGTCAGATTTGTGGCACATGTTAAATTCATCGAAGAGATAGCATTTTTTTTCTTTTTTTTTAGAAAGCGGAGCCAAAAATGGTTCATTATAAAATAGATGCACTGTAGAACCGCTAAATTTCTAGAAATACAGAAAATTTGGCCACAAAATTAACTCTCGAACTGTAGCGATCGTCAAAAGCTATCATTTAAACGTTTGACGAAAGAGACATTCCTGTAGTCCTGGCAAGAGTCAGGAACAATGTCTGTTATTGTACCATTTTTAAAACTACAGCTTCCTAAAAAGACAAAAAGCCTTTTCGTCCTCCAGCCATTTTTAAAATGCTGTTAAAATGACTGTTCTAATTAGCTACATTATAGAGTGTAATGTACTTTCTTCTTCAAGGACAATGCCAAGGTGAATCACCTTTTGGTTGTTAGTCTTGCATGCTTTGAATCCGTGTGCTTTTGATTGTTGACACCGGTAAGGTAATTTATGCGGATGAGCTAAAAATTGTCAGGCAAAAAAAACAAAAAACAAACAAAGGGTAAATAAAGCCAGGAAAAAATTAATCTTATTGGGGGTTCGGTGTGTCAAGCCAAACAAAAAGCCTTTGTTTATGTGGACATAGTCTTGAAAATATTAATGCATATCGAATAGCAATTTTTAGATTAAACATACCTAGACCTTTCAAGAAAATCCTCTTCTGTTGGTGCTACTTCCATAAAGAGAGCTTCAGAATTAATGTTTTTACACCCTTTGATGGTTGAGCGTGTTACTCTGTGTCTGGGTTATAATTTGATTTTGATTTTGATTTCGTTGTACCTGTAAATGGAAATGATAACATGTTAGTTAATGTTACTTTTCGATACCATCTATACCCACCGTATATATATGAAAAATCCCATCCTAATAGTACTACTATAATCCAGATAGTTTTAAAACTGACGATTTTGCATGCCTGCTACTCTGGAGCCAATATTCGAAGTTCCGAAAAATTATAATCATTTAAATACCAAATAAAAGAAAAAGCTATTAAACGGGTTCGATATATTGGTCTTCAAAATTTCAAAAGGAAGTGATGAAATTGCACAAAATCTATGTTTTATATAAAATACCAGCGTATTATCTTCAGTGATGAGGATCAATTTTAAAAGTAAAAATGTGGCGTGACCTTCCATTTTTAAAGAATGATTTTTTTTTTGTTTGTTGTCTTTTTTTATAGCTCTTCTTCGTCATTTCCTTTTTTTTTTTTTTTTTTTGTCTATTGTTCAGAATATTGTCAATTCCTCGGTTCAATGTGTCGAACGACAATGCTAGCAAACATATTCACGCTTATACAAGCCATGTACACTTCTAATGATCTTTCACCCCTTCATCCGAATGAGTGAGATTCCGTACCAGCTATTTTGAAAATAAGTCGTCTAGTTCTTAGGCAAAAGCATTCGGTAAGACTTTTATATTTGCACCTAATCAAGTCTAATTCAATGCATTGTAATCCAGAATTCTATTTTCTCCTCGCGTCTTCTTTTTAGCCATGACTCACAGAATGTCGTGCATTTCATATGATTCTGTCTTCACTTTACATTACCCCAATTACCTTGTAGGCAAAGAGGTTTTTATCGTTTTTCAACCTGCCTGAATTCGATTTGCTCTTTCCCATGTAGCCTCAAATAGGTATAATATTGCAACCTTTTCTGGTTTTCGATTATTTATTTGCTAACCATAACTGTTTAGGAAAGACTACACGATACATAAATGTCGAGACAATGATTCCATAATTGTAACCCAAACCAATCGTACCGGAATCCTAAAAAATATTTATTCGGTAACGTATCTTTCGTGGGACTATGAGGATCATATTCCGATATGAACCGAATTAAAGATCTCAGGGATAACCGATATTTTAGTAACGCAGTTCGTAAGTTTGGATTTAAAAGTGGATGAATTGATACACATATGGACCACGAGAAAGATTGATGATGGTTGGAGAACAGTTAGTGCTTTCAGACAGCAACTCCCACAACGAGTGAAACGATCATGGATTCACTTAAGATGTTTGAATGTTAAATAGTTAGGATCAGGATAACCATACCAATCCGTGGACACTTAAAATCAATGGATGAATGCTTAAAATCAATGGATGAATGTTTAAAATCAATGGATGAATGCTTAAAATCAATGGATGTATGCATAAAATCAATGGATGTATGCTTAAAAGCACTGGATGAATACTCAAGACCAATGCATGCATACTTTAAATTAATGGGTACACATTAATTACAGTCATACAAGCGGTTGCATGGTGATACAAACGAGCTTTTTATATTTTCCTTAATACAAAGCATGTGCAGCCGATTTGTTTCTCTTTTTTTGGTTTTAAATAAATCATTTTTTCATGATAATCTGTCCAGTATGCTTGATTTAAATGTGCTTTCAAGATGAATACCATAAATTGATTAAATTATTAGGACCCAATTGTAAATTTCAATGACCCATAATAAAGATTAATTTGTGTTAACAAGAAAATTGAATCAAAGCATTGGAAACATCCATATACGGCATATAGCTCAGGTAATTGGTAAAAAACTATATGCAACAAAACAGGACACAGGCGATACCAAACAAAACATTATAGATGTGTGCCTTAAAATAAAGCAACGTAATGTGCAACATGGTTTACAAAACAAGACCTGCTTTATGTTTATACCATATATTATCGCATTATCAGAAAAAAAGCATGTACTCTCCACATGGTACGACGTATCTCCAAGTAAATAGCGAATTATTTCCGTAACGGATATGTTGGATAGATTGGATAGGTTGGATAGATTGAATAGGTTGGATAGGTTGGATTGGCTCAGCTCAAAGACTGAGATTGGATAGGCTGGATAGGCTGGATAGGCTGGATAGGCTGGGTAGGCTGGATAGATTAGATTGACTCAGTGCAAAGCCTGAGGTTGGATAGGCTGGATAGGTGGGAGCCTATCCAGCGAAAAGCCTGAGGTTGTTGGATAGGCTGGACAGGTTTGATAGGCTAGATGAGCACGAACCTATCCAGCGTAAAGCCCCCGGTTGGATACGTTGGATATGCTGAATAGGCTCCAACCTGTCCAGCGTAAAGCCTGAGATTGGATAGGCTGGATATGCTGAAGAGGCTCCAACTTTTCCAGCGTAAAGCCTGAGGTTGGTTGGATAGGTTGGATAGGTTGGATAGGTTGGATAGGTTGGATAGGTTGGATAGGTTGGATAGGTTGGATAGGTTGGATAGGTTGGTTAGGTTGGATAGGTTGGTTAGGTTGGATAGGTCGGATAGGTTGGATAGTTTGGATATTTTGGATACGTTGGATTGGCTCAGCGCAAAACCATGAGGCTGGATAGGTTGGATGGGCACAACCTATGCACCGTAAAGCCTCAGGTTGGATAGGTTGGATAGGTTGGATAGGCTTTGCGTCGTCGAATATTCCTGTATTTGTTCGTATATGTTTTGTTCAGATAATATACGACCGGAATTAGATATATCTATTCAATGGCAGGCCTCTTCTGTCTGTTAGTTATGCCCCATGAGTATTTATCTACACAGGGTAAATTGTCTACAAATTCTGAGTAAAATATAACCTTATCTCAAAACATATACATCTATACCCTTTCCTCTAATCTGCTGTAGTCAAGCACCTGGCTAAGAGTTTGGACATACTGATTTAATTAAAAAAACAAGAACACCCTGAAACATAAAAATTATCGGACCCTTCTCGTTTATGTTAGCCGGATAAGCATTTATCTATGACTATTAAACCACTCATCTGCATTAGAAAAAACAAATTATACGGATTATCGTTTACAAAATGTTTTCCTTTCCCCAAACCATAGTGGAACCATATCCGTCTGCGTAAATTAAGAACTCATCGAAAAAAAAACGTTCAGCTGGCGTGGTTTAAAAACATTTGACAGGTGAATTTATTAAGAGCAAAATTTGGATACTCTTACTGGTTTTTTTTGGAGTCCTCATCAAAGCAAGTTCATAACAAAAATAAAAAGAGAACTAGAAAATTGGTATGTTAATTTCGTCCCTTTCGCAGAATGAGTAACCATTTTCAACCTTTCCCCAATGCCTGCAATGTTAATTAGATCTTTTTTATTCCCTGATCTCTGTAGGGTCCAATAGTTGAAATTCATGCTTTATGCAGGACAGCACATTATTTCTTATTGACTTCAAGTGCTTTTTAGAAACTGGATATTTTATCAAATGAGTATTCCAATAACAATTACAGTCTACCCGCGTACCGGAAACCCACAAGAGAAATTTTTGCCTTGTCTTATAATAACAATGATAATTTGACTTGAGAGGAAAGCTAAATCTTACCTTCTCCCTTGATGATGCTAGTCCCGCCAAATATGCTTAACAACAAAATTCAATTGACTTTGGTAACCCTTGCATAAGATGGTAGCGGAATGTAAGTGTGAATTATGCCATAGACTGCCCCCAAGAAGAATCGATGCCACAATTTTTTAGGTTTGATGGATAGTGTCTGGTAAAGCATAAAATTGATCTTTTTTCTATTTAAAAGCACTGAGAAAAACTTTTGTACTCAAACGATCTTCAGCAATAAAACAATTATTATCTACATTACCAATCAATACAAATTCGAAATAAATAGAAACCTATACTTGGCCGAAGTTCATATTATTAGCAGTCTTTTCCTGGAAGTCGATTTCAAATTTGGGGAGTTCGATCAAATATCAACATTTTTGTATTTCGCGGCAAAGAAGATAGAGCCGTTCTTTTGATGATATTATATGATTTTTTACCATCATTGACTCTTGATCTCAGTTTTAATCTGTACTGATTAAGAACACTTGTAAGGGTACAATCTAGAAATTTTATAAATTCAATTAACTTATAATTCTTTTCCTGTATCTGACAGAGGCAAAATAAAAAAAAACATTGTTAAGTAATAAATGTGCTGTGGTTAAGTTGTTTCATGTTGACTTTGTCAATACTTTTTTGTAAACGATTTTCGCTTATCAGCTTTTCAATAAATTAGAGCTAATAATTCAAGGTCTTAAATAAAAAGATAATATATATTAGGCCCCGTTGCCAACCAACTGCCTTTAAACCAGGATGCCGAATTTAGTTATCGAAATCTCTCTTTCCTCTTTTTGAAAGCAGTAAACGAGTAGTGAAATTATTCCAACGCAACTTTTGTTTCGTTCCATCAAAGCTTAGAGTAATGGTTGTACTTTAGAAAAGCATAAAAAGACAGCTTTAACAATATTAGTATAAAGATGCATGTCATGAATCGAGTGAACATCGATGGGCCTAAAAAAGACAAGATCACCAAAAAAACACGTCGCAGCGTAATGTGATGATTTTTAATTGCCTAATATGATAAAATAATTAATAAGAAGATAACAGACGCAAGTACTATCATACTTACATTGAATGTACTTTCATCTTTTTTTTTACACTATACTTTGATTTCAACAACGTTTTTACAATCTTTAAGCAACAGTCATGGAGCCTCTCGCCAACTATTTGGTTTTTTTTCTTACATCATCTCCTTGCTTTCTTTTTTCCAAACAAAATATGCAAAAATATGTTGCACAATGACTAACAAATTTCATTAACTCGTTATGGTAGACACCATCAACGAAATCATGAATAGTTTATACTCTGCTTGTTGCAGTTTTCTGTTCATTTCGCTTGATAAAGAAGATTGGACCCTAATTCGATGATTTGTTGTTGATACGGCGAAATACTATTTAAGGTTTCATTGACTTTTCTAAAAACACTAATTACTTGGAAAGTATGTTTTCCAGTAAACCAATACGATGATGTAACCATGTCTAAATTTATCTCGACTGCATTCTACTTTTCGGTAACATTGTAGTTTAAAACTACACAATGAATCTTCGTCATTTAAGTGCCGGAGAATGTATCACTGAAGCCTTCACTGTCAATTTTCGAAGTAATGTAATATTTATTTTTATGTAAACCGTTCTCTACACAATTGGCATAAAGCTCAGAATCAAATACATCCCTGTAGATTGTTTCTTGCAATGATTGTTTGTTTTATGTGTTAGGATATTTTTTAAATTGGAATGCTGGTCTTTCCATTGTATGATTACCACCTAATTTATTGTACAATTTGAATGTAGTATTTCTTAAATTTAGCTTTTCCGATAACTCTAGAGCAATCAGCAATTGGGCAAGAAGTCTGATCAACGTGAGTTATTGCGTCAATCAAGTAGCATCTCTTAGTAGCACACTTTTTTATGCTTGTTGATAAATAACTTGCTCTATTTGTTTGTTCTAAAATATTAGGGTACTGATGATAGATGATATCCAGCATTATGGACGTATTCAAATTCTCCAATGTTATTATCATGGAGCATGTTATGGTGAAATGGTATCAGCGGCGTATTACATTCATAAGTATTTTTCTCTCCCCTTATAAATATTGCAAAGGCTGATCTCGTATGCGTGCGTTGAAATAAACGGATTAGATTGCAAAATGGTACCACGCCCTGTATAAAAAAGCTCGCTGTCTTGTCGAATAGCAGGAAAGTTTTCAGAAAGGTCTTAAATGATAGGGCATACAAATCCTCATTATCATTCTGATTAAAAATATTATCTGTAGATATTATTTTTTGATATTACGGAACAGATACTGGACCCAATTGATGTCTCTTTTCTGGTTTCACCATATCCATATTTATGATAGATATATGTAATAATGTGACCTAATTTCCTAATCCACCACAGAAAAAGCAATAGGAGAACAACGTCCTACCCAAGATTAAAAAAGTTAAAGCAAGTTTCATATACATCAAGAGTTAGGAAATAGGGCATACATATGGTGCTGTTACTTCAGTTCGTCAGTTAATTATTTTTTCGTATCCCTGTCGACACATCTAATATAATGTTACAGTTCCTTGTTGTACATCGAATTTTAATTTTGCGGCTCTTTTTTTTATGCCTCAAATAGAGTTCGCTAAGTATACGTATCAGTTACAAGATAGCACCAAGTTTGTCATATATATGCAATGTCATGAAAACCAGTTTTTAACGTTACATACCCTAATGAGAACAAATATGCTTTTATTAGATTCTTGATAAAAAGCATTAGAGAATGCTGATAATTTTACTAATTTTTGTTTGTTTGTCCAATTGTAGTCTATTTTATAGATCCCAGGGGATTTTCTCTTTCAAACCAACTAATTTTACTAATCACATAAGTAAACAAAGCTGCATGAAATCAGTATTAAAAAAAGTGAGGCGTAAACAAGATTTTTAGGTTAATGAAAAATTTCTTTTATTAATAATATTAACTGTGTGCTTCTCTCAGTACCAATATAGGCTTAACAGGTCAGACCACGAGAAGGTGGAAGCACATCCTGACCCAAAAACGAAAACATAGAAGAAAAGAGTGGAAGGGCGATACTTACGACGAGAAAGGAATTAGTGTGGTCAGTGGAAGGGTGATACTTACAACGATAATACAAATAGTGGCGGAGTTTTCAAGGGCTATACTTACCGGGGGAATAAAACGTTACCAGGCTCCTCCACAAACCCGTTCCGCGAACCTTAGAATTATCAACCTAGCTTGAATACCGACCAATCTTCACACCCATTAAGGAAGAACGGCGCGACGTAATTACCCAATGCTGTCTGCTTTTACCAGAAAAGAACTGACGCTGCAAGGTGCGAAACACGCAAGATATCAACGAACACCTCCCAGACCCAGCCTCCTAACACCAAGTGCAATCATCCAAATGCTAACATCCTTTCATACCTACCTACTGCCAAGTAAACTACTCCCCATGATACATCCACTTGCATGTTCAACCATACCGTACTTCAACAAGTAGCCTTGAAGATCCACAGCACATGTAAAAGAACACGTTTGCACATAATTTAAGAGAGTATTTATAGCATCAACCCATAAGCAAATGCCGGCGCTTTAACAAGAGAGATAAAATCGGAAGGAGCTGATCGAACACTCGGAAATGCTTGCGAATTACAACCTTTTCTACCAGATATTGCCTTCAGATTTGGTTTCAATTGTTCAAGATATCTTGCCCTCTTGTATTCTTCATGGTAACAACACAAAGTCTTGAAAGTCTTCCATCTTCGTTCCAGTCTTGTCCAAGCCCAACACCTTTTTTTTTTTTTTTTAATTTTTTTTTCTTTTTTTTTTTGTTTTTTTTTTTTTTTCCTTTTTTTTTTTTTTTTTTTTTTTTTTTTTGTGCTTTTTTTGATTTTCTGTTTTTTTTTTTTTTTTTTAAGATTTTTTAAAATATGTACAGTGTGGGAGGGGGTTTGTATATACAAATGGTTCCGGAGGACAGCACCAGGCCGCCAATATTTCACAAATTTTCTCAGCACCAGGCCGAGAGAGAAAAAGTACAGATAAATATAATATGTACAGTATGGGGCGGAGGCACGGGGCCTCCAGGTATTTACAGTTTTGGCACCTAACCAGTAAATGACATATGTACAGTATGAGGTAGGGGGCACCAGTCCCCCCGGGCTATTTACAGCGGATTTTTTATGTACAGAAGACTTGGGCACCAGGCTTGCAGAAATATTTACAAAGAAGGAGTATATACAAAGTTTGAATAGCACCAGGCCAAAAAGAAGCGGAAAGGAAAGAAAGAGGGAGCGGAAGGAGCAAAGGAAGGGTGGCACCAGGCCTTTTTTTTTGGTTTTTTTTTCTTTTCTAGTTTTTATGGTGGTGCTAGACTTGAACTCGACCGAAACTTGGATAGAAGACAGACAAGACCTTGTGTTGTTTCCAGAAGATTACAAGACGGTAAGATACCTTGAACAAGAGAAACCAGCACTTCAAGCAGTATCTAATAGAAAAGGAAAACACAAACAAATCCTCATGTTAAACCAGCCCCAACCAATCTTACCTTTCAGGCTAAAGTTAGCCAGCATCTACTTATGAGAGGAGCTATAAACACTCTCACACGTACAATACGTGTTCCAGTACATGACCGCTTCACCACAAGACTACAAGTATCCATACAGTATGATCTCCCATACAAGTGATTGTACCACAGGTTTCGTCTACAAGGAAGCAAGCAGGTTATCCCTAAAAGAAGATAAGATGTCAGCATATGGCTCTAATGCATAAAATACGTTTTATAAAGATAGCTTACCAGACATCAGCATTCTTCAGAAAGCACTCAATGCAGTCGACCAAGTCTGAGAAGTATCCATTGATACCGTACGTGCGTCCTCACACCGCCAATCCCATTCCGCAAGAGACAGTTTCACCAGATAAAAACGGTCACTTTAATCCTTCATTTCAGAACAAGCAAGACGATCAAGTACCCTCACAAAAGCCAACAACCTGCAGCCCACTTCCCGAGTGAGCGAATTTACCTAGGAACAATGTGGAAGAAAAAAAAAGGGGGGGAAAGAAAAAAAGGGGTGGTGAATAAGGGAATGGGGAAGGGAAGGATTCGCAAAAAAAAGGAAAGTTAAGAAAGGGAGATGGGCAAGAAAAGGAATGGGAAAGGACATAAGAAGGAATGGTGATGGAATGGTGAAATAATGGGAAAAGAATAAGAAAAGAATAGTGATAGTGGAAGTTAAAACAGGAAAAAAAAAGAAGTAAATAAAGAAACGAAGACAAGGGTGAAAGGACTGTTATTGCTTCGGAGATGTTTATAGATAATATCTGTTCTCACGACTAGTAATTTTTGTACTACCCCAAGTACATACCACGATCAAATAATTGAATAAACTCCTTGAAAAGCATTCCAAAGAATCTAAGTTAGGATAACTTTGTGCAATCAAGTTAGCTATGTAAGAGTTCAGGTCTAATGATTTTATAATGATTCGACTATATTAATTTTCTTGGTTTAAATTAAGTCACGATTCTAAAACCTGATAATCAACTTAAGGTTTTCTTTAAAAATTTTCTGTTCCATAGCAACATTTTGATAAAAACCCTTACGTCAAATTCTAAAAAAGTAAAGCAAAACAGATCATTTCATTGCTTAGGAATAGCAATACTGCTTGTTCCTTTCATGCCCAAAAAATTATTTCCTTCTTAATCAGATTCATTTCATTCCTGAGTAAAAAATAAATCCCACATAAACCTTTTCATGTAGGACTATGTAAGCAAAATAATTGACAGGGTCTATTAATTTGCAGTAAGATAACGGAGTGGAAAAAAAATTACCGTCGCAAGCGGTTCAAAAGCACTTTTAATGTTAAGACTCTATAAGTCATTAGCACACTTTCAAATTGAGATGAACTATAAATTATATTTGTATAGTGACCTAGGGTACAAAAAAATTACTTACTGTAAACCGAATAGTTGCAATCGAAAGGTTCAATGGTTGTTTGGGAGTATTTATCCATTCAAATCTGGGTAGATATACCCGTGTACGAGTATCCATCTAATTTTGATCAATAAACAAGGTCCGCGAAAAAAAACTAACGTCATTTACTTAAAAGGGTAGACAACCTTAGGTGCCAATCATTTTGAGTTATTTCCTAGCACAAAACTATAAACGCTTTACCTTCATCCATTCACCTACAGCAATAGAGGATTTGTCTGTGGAGAAAGACCTACCCAATTGAATAATAAAAATCCAGATCTAAAACCTATAATTCCCTGATTCATTGCATCTATCTGAGAAAGACGAGGATCTATTTGTGGGAAATACTTACCCACATTGTGGAAATACAAATTGGAATCTGAACCCTTAAATATACCTCCTTCATTCCATTTACCGGTAGTGGGTAGCCATCCGTCTATGATTGTACACTTACCTACTGGAGTAGTAATACCAGAGTTCCCTAAAATCTAAAAATAGCTTCGCACATCTAATTTATCCTAACAAGATAAGCATTTCTCTATGACTATTAAATCACTCATTTGCGTTTACAAAACAAATAAACCGAGCTTCCAACACAAGTGTAGTTCATCACATGAACCAATGTGGTTATATATTTGTCTGTGGATGGTTAAGACATCATCTAAAAACAAAAGCTGGCGTGGTTTAAAATTTTGAAAGTGGCGTTTATTAATTAGAGATTTTTCTTGCTTTTTTTTTTGAAGTCCTCATCATAGCTTATAGATGGTGAAATAACAAAACAAGAAATATATTCTCGGTAGGTCACCTTCTTTACATTCGCTAAATGTTTCGCCATTTTCAACAATCCCACAATTATAACAATGACGGCAATGTTAGTAACAACTTTTCTTTCTTCGTTACTTGCGTAGGGTACAACAGTTACAATTCAAGAGCTACACGAAGGATGCGCATAATTCTTTATGACTTCAAGTGCTGCGTAGAAACGTGTTATTTTATAGAATGCGTATTTAAAAAGTAAATTCAGTCTACCCATGTACCAGTTAGTCATTCGTAAAATCTTAACCCATCTTACTATAACTTTGCTAGTTTGGCTTTGGGGAGAACACTAAAACCTACCTTATCGTTTGGTGGTTCAAGTGGAACAGAACGTGCTCATTACCACGTTTGTCAATGGACTTTGATAACCTTTATTTAAGAAGATGGTGGGTTATAAGCGTAAATTTTGTGAAAGCTTGTTCGTGCAGTCGAATATATTCCACTTTTATATGGATTTGTGGCGTAGACTCCCGTAAAGTATCACATTGTTTTTGGTCTCATTCGAAGACACTAACAAAAGATTTGATAGTTAAGAGATCTTCAGCAATACGACAATCATCATCGGCACTTCTATCCAATATAAAGTTTGACTAAAAGACCCTAATATCTGACCAAAACCAACATTACCAACAGGATGCTACAAGAAGTCGGATAAACATACACGATCTTTGTATCTCACACGAAAAAAGAAGAAAAGTCGCTTGTTCCATAATGGTGTTCGTATCTTCACCACCATTGAATTTCTGTCTCATTTTTGTTGCAAGCTTCTGTAAAAGTATGTAGAGGTTCAATCAAACAACTTTAAATAATTCGAATAACTAATCTCTCTTTACATATTTTTGACAGAGACATGACGAAGAGCAGAACATTGTTTTAAAGGAATGTGATGTGGTTAAGTCGGCGCATGCTGAACTTGTAAATAAAGTGTGATATAGGCTTTTTGCTTATCAACTTGTAATTTTTTATTTAGTAAGGGGTACGTAAATTGGCGAACATTATGCATGATTACACTACTGATCTTTTAAATGCAAATCTAGGGTATATTTGCTGCTAAACCAGCCCGAAGTATCTCAATATCACAAGACCTCTTCTTCTCTACATCCTCCGAGTGTTAATAGTGATGTCTCCCTTTTTTCAGGATAAATGGCGTTTTTGCGACAGTAAAATGCGTGTCTTTATGCACGTTTGCAGCAACATTATCGTACAGTGAAACATCCTCCTAAAGGTAATCAGACAAAATGATGTTTGCAGTGGATAAAGAGCTATACTCTAACAACTCCCCAACAAAATCTTGCTGGCTATGCAATCTCTACAGATTTTACGGATCAATACCTAAAAATTGCAGTTATGTTTGATAGGTTTATAAATATTTACGTCAAAAACTGACATACAAGTCGGAATGAACTGATGATCTCAATGCTGTATCAGCGGGCCAGCAGTAGTAGCAGTAGCCGCATTTCTTTCAAGTCTTGCCAATCGTTAATGTATAAAAAGTATCCCTCTACCTGTAGTAATATTACTGAGTGCTAGCTCCAACGAAGTAACAGTTGCTGGTGTAGGAGCAGATGTTGGTTCAGCGGTGAGAATTTCAGGAATACCAGTGAGTCCCATTTGCAAATATATGAATGCTGTGGGCTATTCAAATGAGCATTTAATTAATTTTGTGTATTGGACAGACACGGAATCGGCATAGTAAATATTGTTGTCAGAATTAGCATATCGGGAAGGTTTTTAGCCAACACATATTTTCAGCTGGAAGACGTTTCATGATAATTCTTTCTTTCGAGAGTACAGAGATAGTCACCAGTTGTTTTTATAAACATGATCTAAAATTGGTAAGTTAGTAATGTTTTGAAGTTTTGCTCATTTGACTCACAAAACTGTTATAGCTTAAACGTTGGAAATAGGAAGATTTCAAACACGTGTATTAGATCACATGGTGATGGTAAAGATAAAATCAGCCAGTATGCAAGAGTTTCATCACTTAATTTTGTTAATATCAAAATATAGCTCTCTTTCGTTCTCTGTTTTGATAACCAGTACATAGTGCATGTCAAGTGCGTAAACAAGAAAATACTCCAAGAAATTATTTCATACTTACCACCATAGGTGTGTAACACGCTATCTATCCAAACCTACAGGTAAAATGATTGAAACCTTGATGTACATTATATTTATATTAAATCGTAATTGGTAATGTAATAGCAAAGCTACCGTTTTGAAGCAAAAAAAAAGGCGCTTCTTTGAATCCGTGATTCGATAGCCAATATGACGGGCGATACTAAGGAATCAAAAGGGCGTTGTTTTAATTTAACTGTGCGCTTTTAATGGCGACATTAGGTCAAGGTTCTGTTGAGAGTACTGCTTGTAAATAACGGCTAATGTCTGGAAAACCGCTTTATGCAAAATGGAGTAACAACAGTACTGGTGGTTACTCTTATTCGCCGAAAAAAAAATATCTTCCTTTTTTTATATTCATTTCGGTTTACTCTAGGCGACATCAACTCATGGTTTGGCGGGACTCACTCTTCATTAATAACGGTTTATTTCTTGACGTCTGCGCGCTGTTAACTGGATCACATACTGCACTTGCCGCGGGTCCTATACGCTTAATAAAAATATATCTCTGTTTTTATTCAATACAACTTCTTAATGACGGTATCAAGCGAAGTCTCTGCAGGAATCATTCTATGAATAACGACGTGGGTATAGAAGCTTGCTTGCTCCTGACTGGAGTGTCTGATACCATTGCTGTGTTTGTTTTGTTCTTAAGAAAAAAAACCAATTTTTTTCTTTGATCCCATTTCTTAATGACGACATCAGGTCAAGGCTATGCTGGAATCACTCTCTAAGAAAAACGGTTTATGTTTCGTAGCCTGCCTGTTACGGACTGAAGTATGTGCTGGACAGCTTTTATCTCTTATGTGCAGAAGAAAAAAAATTCTTTTATTCGCCTTACTCTCTTAATGGCGACATCAAGTCATGGCTCATTCGGAATCGCTGTTTATGAATAATCTTATATGTCTGGAATAATGTCTATTGATGATGAAAGTTTGCACTGCACTGCTGGCGTTATGTACGCACTCAAGAAAAAAAACTTTTTTTTTATTCCTTTCGCTTTCGTAATAGTGACATCATACCAAGGCTAAGCTGGAATTACTCTATATGAATAATGACTTATGTGTCGAAGCTTGTTTTTTCCTGAATGGAGTGTGTTCTGCGCCGGTGTCTATCATGCACTCAAGAAAAAAATATTTAGATTTTCGGTATTCATTCGCTTTTGCTCTTGGCGATATTATGTTTACGATCTGCTGGTATTATTCTTCATGATATGCTAACATGATGTTTCTAAATTCTAATGGTTTAGATATGTTGATATTAATTAGGTAGTGAAGCTGTTTTGTAATTGGTACCATGGAATTGGGCGATAAAAGCTGGTGCTGCTGTTTGGGAAATAAACAAGGTATATTTTTCTAAAGGCAGAAGAGCCAATGATCCGTGTCGTAATTTATAACCTTTGGCTGATGTCATATTTAAAAACGTAGTATGATTGCATCTTGCTTCAGAAGTTCTTTTACCAAGATGAATACACTGCATTTCCTGGTATTTGTATGAAGCACTCACTTTCAAAAGCATCTCTTAGAAAAAACACGATGCAACAACTAATTTAGCATATTTAAATTTTATACTTATGCCTTGTATTTTTTTAATTCAGGGCTACTGGGTCATAGGGTGATGTACTGAAGAAAAATAAATTTGCAACTGTACGCTGGATACAAACTTGAAAACTTATATAGTAAGAAAGAGAAGGGGTAATGGTTAATTCTCCGTATGATCTAGTTTCCTGCTCATGTCTCGTATTTAATTTGTGTAGGATCTCTAATGTTTGTCAAAATGCCTGCTACAACTATATAAAATTACCAGACTACCTTTGTATTCCAGCTGCGTAAAAGATAATAGCGAAAGCGGCTCAAGAATAGCGGATCGTGTTTTTGATGGTGTTCTGTAGGAACGTTTGGTGCCGGAGATTCCAGTTGCAACCAAGAAAAGGTAATGGTGATTGTTGTTGGTATTTAGATTTTTGTTGATATGATCTATTACTGTCAGGAATTAGCCGGATGTTACTAGGTACGAGGACAGGTCTCTTTATACTTACAAGGCAAGGCTAGGTACTAGGTAGGACTATAAGGTTTTGCGAAAAGAGAGACAAGAAAGGTAGTAAAGCTAAGTTTATATAATGATAATAAGTTATACAAGATATCAGATAAAGATCTGTACTTGTCTAAATAATCTAAGGTATTTATAATAAAAGGAAGATAGTCTTAAGGACTATCTTTTTAACGTGAAGGGTCTGGTGTTAGGGCCTTGGGGAAGGTCTTGAGGCGAGGTACTGTGGCGGGATCATGGGACGAGGGTGGTGGCGGATGTTGGGTTGGTCTTGAGGCGTGGTCCTATGGTGATGACTCGTGATCGGTCTCATGGTGGTGTCAGATGGTTTGGTCACATGAGCTGTCAAATATGATCTGCATACATATGTAGATCTATGCGGGGGTATATGTATGCGCGTATGCATTAAGGTATTGACCACGTGGTTCATGACAGCTTCTATGTAAAATAAGCAAAGAATATGGCTACATCGATATCTGGAACCACCTCTCCGAACGCAACCGATTACGATTTCGTTACAATAGACGCCCAGCTGGCATATTACACATGCAGATGTAAATTTAGTAAAATGACTCTGAAACCCCGCAGTAAAAAAAAATCCCTTTTTTTTCCCTTTTTTTTTTTCTATTTTTTTAAAATTTTGCTTCTTCGTCTCTATTCTTCCCACTTTTTGTTTTCTTTCATTTATTATCAATCTCAATTCTGTTTCTATTCTTTTCTATTTTTACTTTGTAGCAAAAGCAGGCTTACAATTTGGCGGAAATAATGGCAACTATTTGCCATTTACTTCACAAAACTTCCATTCCTTGACGTGCAAAAGTGGCAGATATGATATTCTATAATAAAAAAAGTGACACAGCTGGAATATTTTTGGCTGGCAAAAAAAGCACCTTTAACAGTTGAATGAAGCCAAGAGGTTCGCATCTGCCGTTTTTGGTTTTAAAAAATGGCATCTATTTTAGTTTTTTGAAGACAAATCATTGACACCTTCCATTTTCCTGGCTTGTAAAAGTGGCAGTTATGATTTTGTATTATAAGAAACCGTTCGCAGTTGCCATTGTTTTTTAAACGGAAAAACCCTTAACTATTTTTTCAGACCCATTATTTTATATTTGGCAGGCTCACAATTTCTTATTCATTGTTATTATTGGCAGTAAAGCAGGTTCTATTGGATTGTTAATTTATATTTCAGTAGCGTATAGGAGGGTTTGATATAACTTTAACCTTTTTATTTAGGTTTATAATTGTATACATGGCAATAAGATGTACCTTTATGATGCTTTGATGTTACTTCAGCTTACCTTTGACTCTCTTAACACTCTATAAAGGTATTGTTAGAAAATAATAATATTGTAATTAATTCTGCATTTTATTACTAGCCCTAAGTTCTGATGTCGATGATTATTTGACCGGCCGTGTTCCTAAAAATGTTGTCGTTTGATTAAAAGGTACACAGAATAAATAGTCTATATGTAAGCAGTATGATATCAATGTGAATAAAACATAACCTTTTAAATGCTATATACCCTTAAAAATAGAATGGTCTATTGATGAGGACCATTATCATTGGAAAATGGTTATATTATACAGACGTACTTTAGTTTGATCAAAATAACAAAAATGGGCTAAATGTTTATCTTTAGTTTAGCATACAGAATACATGTCATTGCAAACATACCCGATTCCAATATATTTGTTCACGATTTTTGTTATTTTGGGACATATACCCTTATCATCATTATTTGAAGGGTATTTATTTTAAAAGATAAATAAAAGTAAAGAAAGAGAGAAATCATTGTAGGCTAAAAGAATGCTAAAATACACACTATTAAAGAAGCTAAAAACCAGAATAAACAAATCGTGTCGACCAGACACGACTATTATATTCTTCTGGATCTTTTACTTGAAGGTTTACTCGCTACCTCTACTTGAGGAGAACTGTATAAAAAATATTTATGGCATATGACTAAAAATATATCATGCATGAAAAACAATAAAAAAAACTTACAGCACGTCTGCTATGATAGGGTACTGATCGCGACCCGTGTCTTCGAAAGCCTCATTGAAAGAGTCTGATCTATTGGGATCTTGTAGATTCTACATTATGTTATCTTGTCAACGATATGGATGAAATAAATCGCTAAAGAATTGTGTACTGTTACCCTTCTTCTGAGTGTTTGGTTGTGACCATTAAGTCTCTCCTATGAAAAGCTTCTGGCACACCACATTCTCTTACACAGGTACCTTTTGAATCCTTTGTCCTTCGCAAGCGTTTCCAGGCGCAGCATGTCAAAATACCTATCATTTGGCGGGATATCGTTCCGGTTTTTCAATACGTCAGGGTGGTCCAGGTCAATCAAGTTATGCTTCAGCAAACGTGCCAGTTATTTTAACTGAGCTCGTATTATTTCCAAATCACGTTCTGAAATTTGGCCCAGAGGTGGCTTTTGTTGCTCATTGGGACTATCCTTGCGTAATAACTGCCAGTCTTTTGTGTGTAAAGTTTCAGTATTACATTACGTCTATCGGAGACTTTCTTTCCTTCAAGTTCTTCAAAATTTGTCGCAATTGTTCGTTTACCAAGCTGATCAGGATATTCAATTATTCGGCATCTTTTTACCGACTCGGTGATTCGATCAAGAGCTAAAAAAAAATACAAAATAACCGATTCAGTCACGATTATCAGAATCTGGGAAGGATCGGCAGTACCACTTTGTTCAACGATGCTTTTTCTATCATATTTACATCCTCATCGGTGATGTTTCATGCAAATTGATTTTTGAACTGATTAGACAGCGCATCTAGCCTTTGTTTGATCTCAGGAACGTCAAGTTCAATTCTACGAACATAATTGGCGAGTACAATATTACTATCAGACATTTGAAAAAAAAAATTTAAATAAATTATTTTACAAAATATAAAGGTAAAAAGTTGAAAGAAGATATGCTAGTACATGTAAAATATTTTATCCCACTTTTAGTTAGTTGGAGCTGGACTGTCTGCTTATCCAAATTATGTCATTTTTGTTTTGTTTTGTTTTCTTTTGTTTTTGTTTTGTTTTGTTTTTGTTTTGTTTTTGTTCTTTTTTTTCGGTTCTTTTCTGAAGGCATATCGTCATGTCGAGGGAAAAATATCCGCGAAATTATTACTTAAGGTCAAGGACTATAGCTAATAATATGTCGTGGCTGTCTTCAGCTTCCAGGAAACTTTCATCTTTGACGTCTTTCACTATGAAAGAAAAAAAAATAAAAAGCGATTTTAAACTTAAGTAATTGAGTATATAAAAAGCACCTTACGTATAGAAAGTACTTACACCGGTTACAATTTCCAAATATAAATCACACTTTCACAAATTACAAAATTTTCAAATGTCATTCCCTCCCTCTTCTTTGTCATATGCCAACAGACAAAGAGATAGACTTTCTTATGAAGATTTTGAATGTGACGGCTGTTCGATGATATTTAATAGTTACCGTCAACTCCAAAACTATAAGAGAGTTCATATTCGAATAACAACATCTGAAAATACCGTTATACAAGAAAGCAATAATGATTCTGTTGATAATGGAGACGTCAATGATTTCGGTACAAATAACTACCTTGTCTCCTTAGTTGAAAAATAACTTACAAAGTAACTATAGTCTCTACCCCCGTTGGCATGGATGTTGATGACCACATCAATTATAATTGCGGACGAAGCTTTGAAGAAAATGATGGCAGGGCTCATGTTTATCAAGCTAGTAGAATTGGCTCCAAAAAAATTCACAAAAGATGAAATAATGAGCATTCTTCTTTCCCAATTGACGCTGCAACACAAAATAGCCATAGCTGCTAACAGGGACATTGTAAAATTTGTTAATACGGTTTTTCGGGACCACGATGGGATAATGATAGCTAATAGAAATGAGCGTATGGCCTTGATGCATTAAATTTCTTAACATTACATTGGTATTTCATTCAAAACACGGAGTCCTAATTTAGCTATGGTGAGGCTATTAATGTTTTGGTCAAAGTTGAATCCAGTGTTCATGGCCGCGAATATGATGTCTGTCCAAACAGCTGTTGACTGTATGGATTGGATGATAAAGAAGACGAATGTATCAACCGTGACGAAAAACGATATAAGACCAGCACTGAATTGATCAAGGTTCCCAACGCCAGTATGAAATTGATGTCTATCGGTGATCTTCTTTTCAGTATGTTGGCTGATCTTCAGACTAGAGATCTTCTAAATGATAGAGCTAACAGGAAATCAAGTTTCATGCAAATGAGTGCTATTTTCGATGGGCGAATTCACAAGGATCTGGTAAAAAAGGGATTGTTCTCCAATCCTGACGATATTGCCATTGGTCTTTAGACGGATAGGTTTGTAAACCAAAAGAAGCGCAAAAACTCATTTACAATTATCCACAATGTGATATTCAATGTTGATTGTTCGATCAGGTAACAACTTATACTGGTCTTAAAAGGTACAATTTCCTAACCACTAGACATTAGATTCAAAAACGAGAATATGTTACAGCTAGCAATTTTACGCGGTCCTAAAAAACCTACTCATCTAGATTTATACTTGCGACCCATCATCGACGAGTTAAAGGATTTGGAAACCCATGTACATGTTGTTAAACGTGGTGATATCGAAATCTGTCACTCAAAGGTATATTTGTTGCTGGCTTCTGGGGATATTCCAACTGTGGCGGGTATGGCTAACATCGTTACTCATAGCTGTACATACGGCTGTCATTCTTGTGAATCGAAAGGGAGAAGTCCAGATAATAAATCTCATGGAAAGTATTTCGACGATTGCTTTGCTTCATTGAGACCACTGCTAAACTACATGACTGGAAATCCTGTAAGTATATTGAGTTGAGCTTTTCATTTCTCGAGACTAGTAGAGTGCACCTACTATAGATAAGAAACATTTACGAACCTAGTGTTTTTAGTAAGCTATCGACATTTTCCGGTTCCCCATTTTATGCGTTGAATGAGCTCCATCTTATAGCCAGAGGAAACGGCAAACGTTTATACGATCTGATCACAGTAAAAATTCCCAAAAAATCAAAAGTACTACAATACCAAGCAAGATGAAATCGTCTAAATCGCCAACTACCCTTTCTACATCTCAACAAACAATTTGGATGTTATTGAGGATTGTATCACCTCATAGAAAAAGCATGTCCCCGTTTTATTCCAGGTTAGCTTCGACACCGTTTTTGAAAAGATTGATTGGACACGTGCGGTAAATTGGTTTGACTTCCTTTTGTACATTGCTCCCACATTTTTTGTACCCTACCTGCCTAACATGTCTGCCAAAATAACGTGCTGGGCTTGGTCAAAGGCTGTGCTCTTGCATTGCATGGAATATCACGCCAGATCTGATCAGTGAAATAGAGGGGTAAGTCGGTATACTAACGTATGGGGAATTCAGTTATTTAACAGAAATATATTACCTTTGAAAGGTTCTTTGCGATTTGGAACACCTACCTTCTGGAGCATGTCATTTTGAAAAACACCTCTCGGACCGTGTTTCGTTCTGTCCAACATTAATTGATTCTCGTTCAATACTTCATCAAGCAGCATGGTCCCTGAGGTATTACTCTGCAAAATCTATCGAGAGAGTGATTAATGTATATTCCAACATAATGAAATCAAGAAGAATGGGCGGTAGGAATGCAAGTATGCTATTCGAAAGATTTGCAATTCTTAAATTCATCAACAGCATTATCGATATTACGAGGGAAATTTATCTGATCATACCAGCCGGACCAGGTGACAACGGATCTTCCTAATAACCTGGATGATGTGCAGCTTTGCGCGTCGCTTGGTGGTAACACCTCTCTGGCTGGTAAGATGATAGAAGATATCAGATGTGGCCGAGTAAAGGATGCCTTATCTAGCTTTTACGGAAGATCTAGTGGTCGTAATGCTGCTACTTCTTTCGGTAATTCTGAAATTGATATTGCTTCTCGTGCTTCGATAAACAACATTGTTTACTCCTCCAGCATGTACCAAATACGACGGAACGAGATAAGTCGGGAAAGCCATGGCGTTATGTTTACCACCAGCTATAAAAAGTAATTCAATTCCTGTTTTCATTGAGTTAGCTTCTTACTCCTTTTACTTTTTACAGTTTCCATTTTTACCTTAGCCATTTCCACGTTTCCCTTAGCTTTTGGCTTGTAGGTGCTGTTCAGTTCTTTTTTTAAGCATGTTCACTTGAATAATATCCAACAAAATTTTGGGCTAGTAGAAATGATGAGACACCACGACGTGGCCCGACACGCCAAGTCTGTTCGAAATGTGAAGGATCGTTCATGCTAAGCGCAAGCAACATTCGTGGTTATCAATTTGGCAGACATTGAACATCAAGTTGGGTTAATTGAGTTTCTTCCTAATGGAAACTAGTTTTAAGTCAAGGCCCCCGACATTGTATTCAAGGAAAATTTTCAAGCAATTAAAGGAATGCTTTCCATTTTGTAAGTTTTCATAATGGCCATTCGTTTGATTACATTTTTTTTTCCGATTACATGTCGAATATAATAAGGTCATATTTTCTTGGTGCAAAATGATAATAAAAGAATCACAGAACTGAAAAAAAGAACTTCAGAAAAAATCTGGTTTTTAAAAGAAATAAAAAAATGGCAATTTGTTACCATTTGCTGCACAGGCGCAAAAAATTATTTTTTACACGGTAACCCATCAAATTCGGATCAAGATTGCTTCAAATTTTTGGTATATAGCAATCTAATTTAAACTTCGAGATAGTTTTTATAACATCTAAACTCTAAAATGACGGTTCCAGAAATGATTTTGAAGCATTTTTGTTTTTTTATGATATTTTCATCATTTGTAGCAATATTTTACTCAACTCTTATTGGCTGGGAATATCGAGCAAATAAACAAAATGGCAGGTATGTTTTCAATTAATTCACAGCAGCTGTTATATCCGCCATAGTGTTACAAGTTCATAGTTTTGCAGAAAAAAAGATTTTATAACAATAGGATCAATTAGAATTGCTGTCAGATGTATTGATGTTAAAGTTAACTAAAGATTTTAGAAGAGGAAAAATAAAGAGTATTTATAATACATAAAACGGACAACACTGAGGATACAATCATAACTAAATGAGTATGCTATCAATAACAATATCTACATTGGATAATTAGTGCTACTCATAGTCAATACAGAATTAATAACAATAACTTCTCTTAAGTTTGGACATTGATGTTACGATACCATGACACTTTGAAGTAATGACCTTACTTGGCAATTTTCTTTTTTTATGACCAATCATGATTTGGCTATGATTAATCAGTGATGCTAGCATATGCATTTATTATATGTACAATATATATGCGTGATGTATTACACTGTTTTAATTTATTGAAGCCGTTTAATAGTATCGAAGAACGAATGTGTCTCCTTGAAAATGTAAGAGAGAGCCTCCAGTATGATATGCTTTATCTTCAACGACAATTTTAGGGTATTTAAAGAATGGGGGACTATGCCTAAACCAGCGCTTTTTTTAATACAAGCGTATACGCTTCGTTTATGAACTTTATTTTGTATACAATACTCATCTTCCTCGATTCCCGTCCAGATACACCAATAAGTACAACTAAAATGTTCCAATGAATTCCGAATCTTGTAGCCATACAACGAAAAATGACGGGAAGTATAAAGTACGCGCATAAGCATCAGCCTGGATCTCTTTATGCTTAATTTTTAAGTTCGTCAGAAATGTCGAAATGGACCATTTCACGCTTACTTTTAGGGCCTATAATTAGTGTTCAGTGATATCATTTCACCCTCATTTTTTAGGCTTGTGATTAGTATCAGGCCAGATCAGTTTCTGTATCTCTTTTGGCGTGAAATGAAT